TGAAAAAGAAGTCTATTTTTCGTTCGTCTGGCCCAAAAGAAAACCCATTCGATTTAATCCGGGTTTCGATACGAGCCTTTTTACTGGCGCGGATTTATATGGGGGGATTCTAAACGACACTCAACAGCTCTCGCACAATACACAAACGAATGTCGCCAAATATATCCACAAATTACGTTTTAATGAAACAGCAAATGAACGCAAATTTATAACAATATTTTGACGGCAATAAATACGAACTCATTATAAACTTTCTTTTTTAAGAATGAACACTACAGTCCAGCTAATTTGGTCATTTACTTACCATCCGAGTAATACATAACAAACGGAAATTTTCTTGGAGCTGATGTTGTAGCCGCGTTGATTTCACTGTAGTCAGTAAACGAGAAACAAATGCTTGACAAGAAGCAGTTTGGTTTATAGTTCTAGATTCAGGCGTAGGTCATCTAAATATATCTGAAATGTGCCGATGATCTTCCGTGGAGACAGTAAATAGAATTTTGATTTTTGTTGTTCATTTCAAAATCCTATTTTTTAAAAGGCGATGTAGCCACCACAAGAACAACATTGCAAACTACAGCTAAACTTTAAAATTGTGATTACTTGACGGCAATTTATTACGTTAAAAACAAAACATTTAAATTCCAGAAAATATTAAAAATTAACTTGGCCGTCATTAGCCACACGTCAATTTGTGGTAATGTTAATGTTTGTCCTAAATGTTCGAATTCAGGTCTCAGACCACTAATCCGATTTCCGAGGTAATATGGGTCTGATACAGATGAATTAATTGTTTTCTAAACATGCGGTGCCTGATGACTGTGAATCTATAGATATTGAAATCATGTCTGCTACGAGAAGCTGTTTAAATTCAACACTTGTTGGTATAATTCGAACGCCTGTATAGCTTTCGATTATTTTTTCTTCTATGAATCGATCACTAGATGACTTGAAAATCGAAAAACAATTTGAAAATCGTTCAAGCACTTCACCTGAACCCTACCTATGGTAGTTTAAAGTAAGTCTTTTACCGAGATCATTAAGCATTCGGTCAAATTCAAATTCGAGTTTAATACCAATGATAATAACAATGACGAACTGAATAAAGGAAATAATGTAACAGTTTCAATCCGTATGTTGTTTCTTACACAGAAGCCTTCAGAACATATTTACTTTGTCGATGGTAGAATGACCAACTTACTATAACAATCAATTCCTTTTTCAAAATTTCATATTTGCGAATATATGTCTTGACCACTTAAATATTGGAAGCTTTGTACAATTTTTCTTGACTTTCACTTTCAATCACCACAGTACCGTGTCTAATTGTTATATTCCTGGACTACACACTATAATTATATATTGTTTTTTTTATTTTATTTTAGAAATGTTGGCACGAAATGTAAGCAAGTCACAAAAGTGGTGTACATTAAAACTCACAAAACTGCTAGTAGCACAATGTCTTCCATCATTCAACGATTTGGTGACTCGCGAAATTTGTCATTTGCTGTTCCCCCAAGAGGTCATATTTTATCAAGTACATATGGTTTTAAACAGAACATGTTAAACAGCACCAAATACCCACCACTAAATGGTGGGAAACATTACGATATATTAACTAATCACGTTGTTTATAATCGACATGAAATGGAGGCTGTTATTCCCAACGCAACTTACGTCACTGTATTACGTCATCCTGTAAATCAGTTGGTGTCCGCGTTCGCCTACTTCGAGTGGACAAAAGCTGTTAAAACTTATCGTGGAGGAAGTGCAGATTTATTTGCCACGTTCATGGAAAGACCTACAAGATTTCTAACTGCTAAAATGAAGTTTTGGTGGCAAGGCCACAACGGTCAGCTTTATGACCTTGGACTTAAAACACAAAATATAGATACCGGTAACAAATTAGATGACATTGTCTACAAATACATAGAAGTTCTGGATAGGGAGTTTGATCTCGTTCTCATCACAGAATATTTTGACGAATCATTGCTGATATTAAAAAAACAACTGTTTTGGAGCATGGACGATATTCTATATTTTTCAAAGGGTTTGGGTGCATCACGTCATATAATTACGCAACAGACACGTGACAATATCTTAAAATGGAATAGGGGAGATTTGCTACTTTATCAGCATTTCAACAGAACACTGTGGGAGAAGATAGCTGAGTACGGGCCTACCTTTGAGGGAGACTTAAAACAGTTTCAGGGTAAACTACAAGAAACAATGAAAGAGTGTATTGACCAATCAATAATGAATACTAAAGATAGACGGGAAAGAAAATATGTATTGAAAACTACTGCATCTAAGAAATGTTTAAAAATGTCGTTTGATGATAGTCATTACACTAATATAATACGAAAAAAACAACTCAAAACTAATGATTAGTTTGTCTTGTGACAGCTTTATTTTTGATTATGTTTTTCAGTAGGCCTAACAACGCTCTCTTTTAGTCGACAAATCTGTATATGGACCTTGGTGCGGGTTAATATTTCTATATTATGCACTATTTAGTACATGCCCAGGTATTAGAGAATCTACTGCCAACAGTTTACTTTCATTATGCAATGAATTGTACATTCAAAAAGATAGATAAATATTACAATATGAAACACAGAATTCGAACCCATGATCATGATCACGCGCTACCTACCTTGCTACAGTGACTGTGTCACAAAACCCGATTATAAATGGCGTATAATGAAAATCGCCCAAAGCGACTATACGGTAATGCACGCGAAGTCGAATCTCGGACATCACAAAGAACATGTATAACAATGTAGCCAAGGTTTGAATGAACGTACGTTACTTAGTTACGATTGGTCCACTATGCAGAAACAACCACAATATTTGTTTCATGTATATTAATGTAAATAGTTATAGCAAGGATGTTGATAATCAGCAATATTATATGTATTAAATTTAACTTAAAGTCGTATATAAAATTCAAGGATCAACATAATCAATATAACGATGTCATGTGATGAGAATACTGTCAATTTTAATATTTTTTTAAAGATAATCTATGGTGTTGAATACAATATTGCATCATTCAAATTGGCGTATTTGCATAGAGTTTGCATATCATTTGCGATTCATTTAAACGACTTGTTTAAAAGTACATTATAATCCCTCACTCACTCATTCATTCATTCATTCATCAATTTATTTATTTATCTATTTATTCAGTTATTTACTAATTGATCAAATATTTGATAGAATATTTCATCAACAATTTGTAATTTTACTTTACATTAATTCACTTAATTAATTGTATCAGTATATTTCTTAGACATGCAGACACTTTCTGTGTATAAAGCTAGGCGGGGACATGGACTAGACTAGTTCAGTACCGAACTCTTTCCCTGTCCCTCACCAGTTGCATTCCTGCAAAACAATATTTCATATCTCGCACAAATATAAGCATTTGACTACTCATAATACTTTGTATATGTATTTCTGTACATTAGTATTTATTTAATTTATTTTTTTAAGTTACTGGTGAAATATAATTTCACTTCAATTTTATTCAATTAAGGTGTAGTTTATATTCTTTTTGAAGTTTAGCTATTTTAACTTTTTCACCAGCACACACCACATCTTGCCCAAATTTTTCCGCAATTTTGTTTTATATATTCTGCAATATTTCCGGAAATAACCCTAATTTCGGAGCGAACAGACAAAATTTGAAGGAAAGTGCAGACTATAACTGAGACAATTTTGTGAATTTGTGAAGAAAATAGGGAAATGATATAATACGATGTAGATTATATTCGTACGTCCATCGAGACCATATGCCTCTATGCCATTTCACACTCAAGTTGCTCTTCTTGATGAAAATATTTTCTTGAATTCTTTGTAATATAAACTGTCCAAATGACATGCATCTTCGTTCAGTGCACCATTCGGAAAGAGTTTTTGCGAACCCCTATGCTTAACATTTCTCCCAGATAACTATACCTTTCTTGACGAGGAGTATATACAATTTAAAGGGTGGGGAGGAGAGTGTGCATTAGAATTACGTTTGAGGGGTTCCTCAGAAACTCTTGCCCACCATTCATATCGCGCCCTCTATGGCATAAATAGTTGTAAGACATCTAGTCAGAAATGCTGTTCACAGTTTCGATATTCTGTTGATGTCCGTCAAGGAAAATAATTGTTTTGTGGGAAATTTCTTTGGTCTAAATTAATAACAACTACACAGATATTTGCCTATTTGAACGATAGTGGTTACATTATGTTGACGTCGGAGAAACGTGTTCAAACAAGACGGCGCAACTTATAAGGACGATACAAACATCGTGTAGAAATCTAGTGTGAGTGCGTACATTTTCTGTGGCTCGTTCTTTTATTGATTCAAAATATCAAATAGCACAGTGTGCTGTGCTACCATAAAACACCCGGACAGCGACAATGTGAAATCGCGCCCTCTATTGTTGTAAACTGCACAAATATATTGTTTAATCGTCTTTGGTGGCAGCATCCCCAGTTGTTACAATAGATTAATTAAAATCTACCATACACGATTAATAGTCTGAACACATAATAAGCTCCGCCGTTGACTGTTTTGCGTGGACAAAAATTCAAATATTTATATTCTGAAAGCTTGTAAAAATGCATATATATCTAAAAATGTTGCTTGAATAAACACAGAGTTTACAACTGTTTGTGTTTGACACTATAAATTTTAGGAAACTACCAACGACAGGACAATTTTATTATGATTACATGTAAAAGTCAATCATGTAATTCTGTCACGCATTTTTATTAAAACAAATAGAAATAAAGTTTAAAAGAACGTCATTTAGACATCCAATCGAATCATGCATGTTCGTTAACTACAGCGATATGAAAATCACAATCAAAAAGTGTCGGTTTGTGATTCATTCGCTGTGATCTAGAAAACGCAATAGAGAAAACAACATTATCACAACGGCACCTTGCATAGCTTTGATTCTGTCACTGCCCAAACTCCAAAATTACTTGTAGAAAAATCACCAAATCTTCCAAAGTACTGCAAAACTTTTAGTGTGAAACTAATGTTGCATTTATCTACAGACATTCAGTAAGGGAGAAGGTCAGAGTTTGACCTAAAATATGACATTTATGGTTTAGGTAAATTACAGACTTAGTTTTATAGAAGCTAAATTATATTTTCTGCGGCTAGTATATTTATTGTATTCCTTTTAAGAGTATTGTGATTTTTGAGTTTGAGATGGGTTTACCAAACTATTTAGATTAATATTATGCAGGATACACTCGAGTAGGTTATACGGTATCAGAGACCTATTTTTGAGAAATAACAGGACAACCAATGAACTCTTACCGTTTGTTTCTCACAACACATTACCGCAAATATGTCAAGACATGATAGTTTATTAAAGTTTATTTCAATTTTACGATGGAGTATCAACACTCATACTGCAATATGACCCTTATAAATCCATTACATACACAAGATTTTGCAGTTTATTTGGGTAAAGTTGTTCCTGGTCTGCCCAGCCGGGCTGACATGCAGTTACTACAGTATCTATTGTCTTAGTACACGCTGGGAAAACTTGGTCACATGAGTAAATGTTCATTCAAGAGAAATGCCCCACCCATCGTCTTGCCTAGTCACTGTCTGATAACTTGGCTGTACGAATGTTGACTTTGCATTAGGGTAGAATTATACTCATGGTTTCAAAAACCCGGAGTTTATTAATTTTCCAATAAATTGTAGTTCCAGGCAATATAAGGATTATGACTTTATGTGAGTGACTAGCTTAATATTTGGGATCATGGTTGCACTTCAGTGGATAGTAGCCATTGTGTCGGTATCATATTGCATTTACCATATCTTCCTATGGCAGTGTTAATATGTCATATTTTAAATTGTGAGCTTGTGAAATTGGCTCAAAAATGATATATTGTTAATGATTGAGTAATTTTTGTCCCAATTATTCCAAAAAACTGGGTTTTAATTGGCAAAAAATACATTTTGTTTTAACATTGTTCTCTATTGAATTATTTTAAAAATAAATGTTTTTAAAATACCTTGTATACAGAGTAGTGCTGTCAACAATTGATACGAACTATGTTGGTAAGACAGGTAAACATTTTGCTGGTATTGTTGACGCGAGAATAGATATAGATGCATTTTGTCACCGAGATCCGGTCGAGAGCGATTAACTACGAATTTGTTAAAATAACATATAGGTTTGGTGAACAGTTAATCTGATCGACTTAAAAGAAATGGGACACCAATTAATTAGGACTACTTAACTGGATGATTTCAATTTCGATCTACCTCCAGTAAGTGAGTGACAAAACGCCTCAAAATATTGACTAGAAGTTGACGGGCACCATAGTGCGGCCAGATACTCCTCGGTATCGTGGCGGTGGTTGTAGTGGTGGTGTTATCCTGAGGGAAATTGTATGTGTTACAAAATAAATGGTAATACACAAGTCCAACCACGGACAACACAAACAACGTATATAGCTATGTAGTCAACTTTCCAATGTAATTCATTTAGTTACAATAGATCAAGAAATAATTACTTGCCTAGGCTATGATTTAGTTTGACAGTGTCAAATTCAAAGACATGCCAGCAATTCGCTACAACCATATACATATTAATCAATGGTGTAATGTGGGAACGGCATATTGTGTATTGCAACGGACAGGGCATATTCCGCAAAAATTATTTGATTTTAAATTTAATTTTGCTAAATATCGAAATGCCAATATTTTGTTGAGATACCCCTGCTTCATCAAAACAGATCATCATCAAATATGTTTATCACATCTTTTTATACTCTAAGTTGCTGATCTCATTAATTTAACTTTTGTTTATTATAATTATTATTATTATTATTATTATTATTATTATTATTATTATTATTATTATTATTATTATTATTATTATTATTATTATTATATGTTACTGAGTTTTCAATCATTTTTTCTATTTACTCCCAAACAAGATATATTTAACCACGCTATACCTTTATAATCCATGTAACTAATTTCATCCTTTTTTACTCTACTTTTATGCAATAAACTCTGTCAGTATGCAAAACGTCTTGTATTTAATTAACGTAAGCAGTGTGAATGTACTTGTCTGTGAACAAAATATATATTTATTTTTTGCCACAACGGTTCAGCTACGAATCATACAGTGACTTAAATGCGGACTCTTTGTGCACCGCGAAAGACAATGGTGTGGTGTCAATCACTGACTTATGCAAACAATGGACACAACGCGATAGACGATATCATTGATCCTATACAAATAATTCGCATGATACGGAAATGCAAACAAATGAGTGGTTGTATCTGGGACGTCAATAATACACATACAATTCGATTATGAAAGTTTACGTATTTACGGAAACTTTTACAAGCA